TGCTCTGGCCACCAGCGGGTGCTGCAAGATTTATTGCCCCTGCCAGTGTGTTCATTGCTTTGACCTAGATTCTCACGAAAGTGGTTCACGGTCAATCGAGGATGAACAGGCCCAGAGGTCTGTGGGGGGTACGGGCATATAGTTGTGTGGGGGCATGGGCATATAGGTCTATGGGGGTAGGGGCATATAGTTCTGTGGGGGCACGGGCATATAGGTCTATTGAGGCAGGGGCATATAGGTCTATAGGGGCAGGGGCATATAGATCTGTGGGGAGCAACGGGCATATAAGCCTGTGGGGGTTCACGAGCATGCATCCCTAAAGGGGCCACGGGCTTCTAGGTCTGTGAGACCCATGGGCCTCTAGGTCTGTGAGACCCTCAGGCCTCTAGCAGTCAAGGGCCCTTAGGTCTGTGCACGAGCAAACAGCTCTTTAAGCCATGAGCCTTTCTGTGAGACCCACGGGCCTTTAGGTCTGTGATACCCACGGGTCTTAGACAGCCAAAGGCCCTTAGGTCTGTGCACGAGCACACAGCTCTGAAGGCCACGCGCCTTTCTGTGAGACCCAAGGGCCCATAGCTCGCTGAGAGCCGCGGGCCTGTAAATCTGTGTACGCTCGGGCCCAAGAATCGGGCTGACAACACCGGCAGCCGGAGGACGATGCCCCTGGAAGTCTGGTGCACTTGTCTAGAGCAGACATACAACTTCAGCGTCGTTTGGGAAAATGTGGACATTGTAGTTGATCATTAGGACATTTGGTTTCAATCATTTGGACCTAGGTCTAGGTAAGTCGGAAGTTTATATAGATAATCTAGAACATTTGCATAATTGTCTCGAGCATTTTAACATTTCTCTACGACATTTTGACTTTTCAAAAAAAAAATTATTTAAAATAATTATACATTCACTCGAACAGGCATTACCCTAGAACAACTAACACCCCCCCCCCCCCCAACACACACCATTTCTCGAAAAACAGCATACATTAAGCGTAATAGTCAGCCATTTTCCAATACTTTAGAACTCCAATCTACACTTCCTGGTGATAGCAAAACTAGGTAAACTACTCACTGGCACACAGCATTGTAATCTATTTACATCGCTGTTGTATAACAAGGAATGGAAGGCCACACAGAGATGTAAACAAAGGGACACAACCTAGAGTTAAACAAAAGGACACAACCTAGAGTTAAACAAAGGGGCACAACCTAGAGTCTATCCGAGACTTGACTGAGCTTTTGCTTAGTGATGCCCTTACTTCGGAGACACGAACTCATGAAGAAAAAGCTAGAGCCCTACTTGGGACCCCGAAGTATTGACTTGGACCCCGAAGTACTGACAAGAGCCCCACAACTTGGGACCCCGAAGTATTGACTTGGACCCCGAAGTACTGACAAGACCCACAACTGGGGACCCCGAAGTACTGACTGGACCAAGAAGTGCTGTCAAGAGCCCCACAACTTGGGACCCCGAAGTATTGACTTGGACCCCGAAGTACTGACAAGAGCCCCACAACTTGGGACCCCCGAATAACTGACTGGGACCTCCAAGAATTGACCATACCATCTACAAAACGCCAAAGAACTGACGAGTACCAAAACTTGGGACCTCGAAAAATTGTCTAGAACCCACTCTGTCTAAAGTCCCAAGTCACCAAATCACATCTACGACTGCTCACACTTCCAAACTACACACCGACATTTCACCAACTGGTGTGTACAGCACACGGACACACCTCTACACGGCACTTGTGCAACGTTCTGCGAGGGCCTGAACTGCGAACACGATGACGCACACCGCCAATGACGTTGATGTCAGGGTGAAAAGGTACCCTGCACACTTTCGGAATTCGGCACCCCGAACTCTTTAGGAATTCAGTACACTGAACACTTTAGGAATTCGACCCAGAATGTTACGGATGTTTCATTTTGCGTCCTTACGCATACACTGGGATTACGTTCAGCAGGGGTATGCACCTTACCGTGCGGCTACCAGGGCTCAGACATTTGTTTGGGACTGTTTCCACGTGACAATTTTTTATCAGTTCCCAAAACAGATGTTGAGTCGAGAGAACGCCAAGATTTCTTCGAGCTCATTGTTGATGTCGGGCTGTTTGTCTTGGAGCAGAGGAGGATTGGGATAAAGGGTGGCTTGGCTGCAACCAAAGGCCCCCAAAATTTGAGAGCCAACAAATATATGTTTATATATTTATTTATTTGTTTATATATATATATATATATATATATATATATATATATATATATATATATATATATATATATATATATATATATATATATATATATATATATATATATATATATATAAAATGTTCTTTGTGATATATTATTTACATTGAAGTTGGATAATATTTAGCCAAGGGCCATACTTAAGCTTAATCCCCCCCCCCCCCCCCTAAAAGGTTACTATGTGTGGCGATGGCATGATCGGAGGGTAGAGCTTACGAATGCTAACACGAAAGTCAAGAGTTTGGACCCCTGGTCGAGTGTATCAGTCTGACACTTGGGAAAGCGGCTGGCCATAGTGCTAACCACACTATCCCCTTGTATCCCTAGGTCATTGAAACAGCTGAGCTCTTCTTCCTCTACGTGTCTTGTCCATGAACAAAAAGACGACGACGAACGGTACTTTGAAATGCTAAGTATACTTCATTCAAGCTAGCAACTAAATATAAACGAAATCCGACAAACCCTGGACTGGAAAAGAAATAGACGTTGGGAATTATTTAGCCGGCTTAGAGTTTAACTGGCCTCAATCCACTGTGGTAGAACTTTATTTCAAGCGTAGTTGGAACTCCGTCTGTTGGGTTTGTTATGTCTGCCGTACAATCTTCGCTGGTCGCGATCTGTCGCTAAAATCTTGTCAGGTTAATCTATTTGTTTAGTTATTCAAGGTACGAACATTCTATGCATGTACAGTGGGTGTAGTTGTTGGCTAGTTTGTTGTTGTAGTTGTTGGCTAGTTGGTTGATGTTGTAGTTGTTGGCTAGTTGGTTGTTGTAGTTGTTGGCTAGCTTTTTGTTGTTTATTCTTTGTTGCGTTATTGGTTGTTGGCTATGGGGGGGGGGGTCTTTCGGCTCTGTTGTCTATATATTTATTAGACTTTTGCGTTACTTCATCTTTTTATTTTTTATTTTATTTTATTTTTTGTTTTGGTTGTTGACTATTTCGTTCTGCGCATGCGCAATGAACCGTTGATTCTGTTGATTTAGCTATTGAATTTGAATAGTCATTTATAGCTTGCATATGTGTCAGATTTTGAAAGCGACTAGTTAATGAAGACAGCAGGTTGTGTCTGGGTGGGCGGGGCTAATCGTGACGTGAGACCTGATTTAACAGATGCACACACGTGGGGCTATTTATAGACAGTGAATCGCGAGAAGGGAGGGGAAGCGGTGCGCGAGAAATAATTGAGAGAAACGGGGAGGTAATCCATGGAGTTTTTCAGTGTTTGGCAATTAGAGCTGAGTTCACCTCGACGACTGGACTAGGTCTGACCCACATAGCTGACCCAGCACGGTGACCGCTACACGTGTTATACAGCACACTGACCCGGGCCCTGATCTAGCAGCTGACCACTGGTCAACGTCTGTTTCAGCAACCTGACCCTGGTATAGCACCCTAAACCTGACTTAGCACCCTGCTTAGCACACTACCCAGCAGCACATTGACGTACAAAATCGTACCCAGCACCCTAGCACCGACTTAGCAGTGTTCCCAGCACCCTGACATACAAAGTGTGACCCGGCATGTGACCCTGACTTAGCACCCTGCTTAGCACACTACCCAGCACCCTGACATAAAATATCTTACCCAGCACCCCCTCGACTGGACAAAGCTTGACCTTGCTCGCATACCCGACCTGACCAGTGTCAAACTTCTGGTACATCAACATCCTAGATCTGGACCATAGTCCAGACCAATGCTAGACAAACATCAGCACAAGGTTAATGGCGGGTCTAGCGCTGAAACCCGGTCTCACCGTGAAAGGGAGAGGAGGGGGGAGGGGGGTTGACTTCACTACTAACACGTGACCTAGTAAAACCACAGTAACCTAACTTGGTCGAGGACTGAACCTGAAGATCCCCCACCCTTCCCTCCTCAGCTAAACACCAGTTTAAGTGCATTAAAGTCTGCGAGACGTCTGCTGGGGTCCAAGACATCCTGGCAGCAGTGGTATGGCAGTGAGACTAGCACAGGTGCTGGGGGCCTGAGACTAGCACATGTGCTGGGGCCTGAGACTAGCACAGGTTTTGGGGCCTGAGACTAGCACAGGTGCTGGGGGCTGAGACTAGCACATGTGCTAGGGCCTGAGACTAGCACAGGTGCTGGGGGCTGAAACTAGCACATGTGCTAGGGCCTGAGACTAGCACAGGTGCTGGGGGCTGAAACTAGCACAGGTGCTGGGCCTGAGACTAGCACAGGTGCTGGGCCTGAGACTAGCACAGGTGCTGGGGGCTGAGACTAGCACAGGTGCTGGGGCCTGCAAGAGATTAGCACAGGTGCTGGGGGCCTGAGATTAGCAAATGTGCTAGATCCTGAGACTAGCACAGGTGCTGGGGGCCGATGACTAGCACAGGTGCTGGATCCGGAGACTAGCACAGGTGCTAGGGCCTGACAGGAGACGAGCACAAGTGTAAGTATCGCCCCCCCCCCCCTCCCCCTTCAACCACACACCCCGCGTGTCTGTTGTTTATTTACATTGCAAGGTAGTTCGCCGTTTAGTACGTATCTGATCTTAAAATTTACAGACGGAGACGGGGGGGGTGGGGGGGTGTTGTTGCTGTGTTAAAATAGACTATAGTGTTAACGTTTTTTTTATGAATTGGGTTTGATAAGGAAAAGCATAAAAAAACGTATTTTGTTTATAAAAAAATATGTAACCGACTTTTAGAAAGTGAGGTGACAAGAAAAAATTAATGGTATAATAAAAATATATTCGAGGTTGTAAATAAGAGAAGGTACTAAAAATAGAATTCTCACCTTGGCCAGGTGCGCAGACGTTCGGGTCCAGGCTGTGAGGAACAAGAGCAGAAGACCAGCACAGCACATGGCGACTACTCCACGACCAGCCGGTGCTATGCCGTGGCTGGGATCGCAACACATTGGAATCGTTTTTTTTGTTTTCTCTGCTCTACTTCCTGGAGCCGCCAGACGGGAGATTCCTCAGGAACCGAGCCTAGGGTTGTGTGCCGCTGTGTCGTCGAGTGTTTACATGGTCCTCTCACCCGGGCCACGTCGGGATTAGCAGCGGCGACGGGTCAACGGGATTAGGTTAGCGGATTAACTCCAAGATTTTCGTACTTTTCTTTTATTAAATATTTGCAATTTTTTAAAAAATCTGAGTTAGCGAATTCCAACTAACAAGCAAATATGAAGAAGTTTTTAAAAACGAAATTCGCTTCAAATAACTTTAGATCTAATTTATTTTGCAACGTTTTTTTATGCTTACTAGATCTTTAAGTATAAAAGTATAGATAATTTCAAAGTTCCGCGTAAAATGAAGTTTTCGTAAATTTTAATTCCTAAGTCCGTGAAATTCTTTAAAACAAAGTCCTACATGTTTATAATGAATAGTGCATACTAAGTACAAACACGGCTACACTCGGCGATCATGAAGTACTTCAGTAGATCAGTGCTCCAATAGATCAGTACTCTGAAATAGCTATCACTGCCCTAAACAGCACAGCGCGGTAAAATAATTCACTAGCCACACTGCTCATACTACGAAATTTTCATCTTTTATAGACAAGCCCTCGCACACGGCTCCGCGCTTCACCCTCCCGGCACGCCCCGGCCTCCCCTCCCCGCCACGTGTGACGCTGTGGGTGAGTGGCTTACGTTAGCCCGTTTGTTCACTTGAGCGGGAAACTCCGTTTTCCATTGGGCCAGAGTTGCTAGTAGAACTACGGTGCTACGTTTTGATCACATATTCTTTATTTACAGACATTATTATAATTTTTCGCTATTTTAATTTTCCGGTAGCTATGATTTAAACAGTTGAAATCGTATAGGTTTACTTGAATTTAATCTATCAAAGTATAAAAAAACAGTTAACAATTAAAGGCACCGATTTGAAAAGATCCGCCTTAAACCAGAATCGTAGGGACCCTTCCCGGCACCCGGGACAAACTTTTAATTTGGCGCACCCCCCCCCCCGCTCGGGAGCAAATTTTCAATTTACACCCCCCTCACCTTCAAACTTTCGATTTGCACCCCCCCCCCCTCAAACTTTCGATTTGCACCCCCCCCCCCCCTCAAACTTTCTATTTGCATCCCTCCTCCCTTAAACTATTTATAATGCAAAAATGCAGCTAAAAACGCTTTAATTTGTTTTTACAACCCATTTTGGCGCCCCCTAAGGTCGGCGCCCGGGGACATATGTACCCCCCTGCACCCCCATTGCTACGCCTCTGCCTTAAACGTTTCCCTATTTCACCTTAAGCATAGACCCGCCACATAGCAGTATGATCAATACAGCTTTTCACAACCTAAATCCCACCTTTACAATGTACATGCCTTACATTTGAAATACGGTCTTAATCCCCGCTAGACTGCTCTGATCCCGTGACTTTGCGTATAGTTAACCCAAATCGTTGTAAATACATAAATAGCTGACCCCGTAACCATAAATCATATGCCATAAAATAAACTTAAACACCCTGCCGAGTTGGCTGACAAGTCAGGCAGATTTTATTTTATTTTTTGGAAAAATATGGACGACTGGTGTTCCATACTTATTATAAATTTTATGAATGGGAGAAATTGAGACGGCGGGGTGCATGGTTTGCGGTACAACTTAAGGCGTTATGTAGGTGCAGCTATCCAGGGTCTCACGGCGCTACACTGTACGGCAAGGAGAGGGGAACTACAGCCGCAACGTCATTGTCAGCGTGAAAAGTTGGTAATAAATCTATTTGTACACCCGTGTGTTTGTCTGTCTGTCTGTCTGTTCGTCTAGACGTCGAATACGTTGCGTATGTTAACTTCATTTACCAAATTAAAATAAAATAAAATACTAAGCTAGACACAAGCATAACCATACATATAAACATACAGACATGCACATACAATAAAGTACACGCATGCACGAACACACCTGAACCAACGTGTTGTGTTTATAGATCGCGTTAGTAACTTACCCAACTACAACAACTTTATCTCACTACAACAACTTTATCTCACCGCAACAACTTTATCTCACTACAACAACTTTATCTCACCGCAACAACTTTATCTCACTACAACAACTTTATCTCACCGCAACAACTTTATCTCACCGCAACAACTTTATCTCACTACAACAACTTTATCTCACTACAACAACTTTATCTCACTACAACAACTTTATCTCACCGCAACAACTTTATCTCACTACAACAACTTTATCTCACCGCAACAACTTTATCTCACTACAACAACTTTATCTCACCGCAACAACTTTATCTCACCGCAACAACTTTATCTCACTACAACAACTTTATCTCACTACAACAACTTTATCTCACTACAACAACTTTATCTCACTACAACAACTTTATCTCACCGCAACAACTTTATCTCACCGCAACAACTTTATCTCACTACAACAACTTTATCTCACCGCAACAACTTTATCTCACTACAACAACTTTATCTCACCGCAACAACTTTATCTCACTACAACAACTTTATCTCACCGCAACAACTTTATCTCACCGCAACAACTTTATCTCACCGCAACAACTTTATCTCACTACAACAACTTTATCTCACTACAACAACTTTATCTCACTACAACAACCTTATCTCACTATAACTTTATATCATTACAACTTTATCTCCTTACTACAACTTTATCTCTCTATAACAACTTTATCTCACTACATCTTTATCTCACTACAACAACTTCATCTCATTGCAACAGCTGTATACCACTACAACAAATTTATGTATGACAACTTTGTATACCTTTGTATCTTAGACCATCATTTATCCTTATGGTATTCTTTTATGCAATTGCAAACTGCGCATGTCTTGTGTTTGGTGCAATCTGTTGGGGAAAGTTTAGTGTGTAGGGGCAGGGCAAGTGTTGTGTAGAGCAGTAGCGTAGCCAGGATCGTCTCATGGGGGGGGGGGGGTGTTCAAATTTTTTTCCAGCAGTATATAACCCGGGGACAAACTTTCGATTAGCACCCCCCCCCCCCCTCAACTTTTCGATTTGCACACCCCCCCCCCCTCAAACTTTCGATTTGCACCCCCCTCAAACTTTATATATATATAGAGGGGTCTATGGGGGGGGGCTATAACCCCCCTAATCCCACTCCTGCCTACGCCACTGGTTTAGAGTTTGGGTAGAGACTCATATATATATATATATATATATATATATATATATATATATATATATATATATATATATACCTTTTTATTTAGTTTGTATACGCGTGCTCATGTTTGCGTATGTGTATATGTATAATAGATTGGCTCGTGTCACAGGGAACCCTGTGTCCGAACACACCAGCCAGACCATACCCTGGACACCAGCTGGACATGGTATCCCATACTGCCACTGGACCCGTGACTGCAGTATTGGGCAAATTTTGTAATGTCAAGGTCACCTGAGCCACTTGTTATTTGAAAAATATTTTTTTTTAATCTGGAGAGGTAATTTTAAATGGGTTTAATTTATCGTTGTAAACAGGAAGAATTTTTGTAGTTATCGCTTTAAAAAGAAAAAAAAAGTTACTTGAAGGGCAAACTTGTGATGAATCTTATTAATTTGATCCTGAGAAAAAGTTGAGGTTTATTTTTTGTTTTTGTTTTTTGTTACCTGGTTCTCAAGGTGAAACCTTGAGTACAAGGTCAATGCAGTGAGTTATAACCCGATGACACAGTTGGAAGTAAGTTTTTAAAGTGAGAAATTATCGAGATTTGCTTTCTCTAAACTGAGAACTTACTCAGCTTTGATTTTTCTAAACAAATAAAAAACTGTTCAAGCTTCATTTTTAAACTGAGATATTATTCAGATTTTATTTTTTAATTTTAAAAAATCTTTAACGAACTGCTTGTAAATAGATATATTCGTCAAAAGTATCCAATGTTTGTAGATTCGTATGCCTACCCTAACTCCAAATACTGGCCTTAATCCTATACATGTGCACGTATTACCAACTTTAAAATATCTAGTTCGTTATTGTACGACGATGCCGACAACTGTATATGATCGGAAATATAAATAGCTCATGGCCCCTAAACCGAAAAAATCCCGAGTTCGAACCCCAGCGATATCCTTAAGACGCCAACTCATCTAGGTGGAAAACTCCTATATCAAGCAAATTCTGTCTTGTAGTTTGTTCTTGAATGGGCTGTGGAGGTAAATCCAAAAATAAAAGGAAGCTGAAATCGTATCAATGGCCTATATATATGGTGCATAACATGTTGACACGTAATACCTAATTGTGTTGGAGGAAATCACATCCAACGTTATAATTAAGAACGAAAAAGAAGAAGAAAATATTAGTAATAATTAGGCTAATAAATCCTACCATGTTAGCTTATAATGAGTCTCACGAAACTGGTCAACGTTAAATCGATAGCCAGATAAGAATTGATTCCTGATCGATCGAGAAGAGTAAAATCGATAAGTGTTATGATCGGGTTACAGCTTCAGTTTTGTTAAAGGATTTTTTAAATGTCTACAATAAAATTATAGCTTGCAATATTATCCACATAGAACCACGGCAATGTGAAAATAAACTACCCTGAATCATGAAAGTATGAACATGGACTACCCTGAACCATGATAATGTGAATATGAACTACCCTGAATCATGACAATGTGAATATTAACTACCCTGAATCATGACAATGTGAATATTAACTACCCTGAACCATGACAACGTGAATATTAACTACCCTGAACCATGACAATGTGAATATTAACTACCCTGAATCATGACAATGTGAATATTAACTACCCTGAATCATGACAATGTGAATATTAACTACCCTGAATCATGACAATGTGAATATTAACTACCCTGAACCATGACAACGTGAATATTAACTACCCTGAACCATGACAATGTGAATATTAACTACCCTGAATCATGACAATGTGAATATTAACTACCCTGAATCATGACAATGTGAATATTAACTACCCTGAACCATGACAATGTGAATATTAACTACCCTGAACCATGACAATGTGAATATTAACTACCCTGAACCAGTGGCGTAGCCAGGATCGTCTCAAGGGGGGGGTTCCAATTTTTACCCGGGGACAAACTTTCGATTTGCACCCCCCCCTCTCA